GCCCCCCCCCAGGGGAAAAGCCGTGGCTCAGCCAGACTGTCCAGACCCACTTTTGCCCCTTGTTCACTTGCTTCCAGGCCTGGCATGGCAATCCCTGAGGGGCTTCTACCAGTGGCTGTGCCTGGCACTGCCCAGCTCAGGCCTGGCACGTGGGCGAGTGAGCTCCAGGACTCTCCGTGACCCAGGAGACAGAGATCCTGCCTCTTGCAGGACCTGGAGGCCCCTGTTTCTGTACTAGATGCAGGCTAAAAAGTCAGCTGGGAAGGTGGGCACTGACGCTCCTCAAGAAAGGGCACAAGCTCGCTGCAGGCTTTGCCCTCTCTGCAGCACGGGCCCAGGCACAGCGGGCCATAACCCACCCAGGGCGTGGACAATGCCCACAGCTTCCCCCTCGGAATCCCATGCTCTTTGAAGACATCACAACCCAGGGGCCAGAGAGAAGCACTTACGTCAGATGGTTATTCCTGGGTCCTGCACTACGGCGCTAGGGAAAGGAGGAGAGACAAGCACATCAGGCATGATTCAGTGCTCCCATGGGAACAGGATAAGTTGCAGATGGGGAGGCTATCACCTCGGTTGGTGGCTCTGTTGGCCACAGCAGTGACCTATGAGGCCAAGGTCCCAGGAGCCAACTACTGCCCAGGAGCCAACTACTGCCCAGCTGCATTTGCTCTGCCCTTCCCAGTCACCTTCTAGCAGAGCATCCTGCAGGACCTGTTGAGCAACAGCTGACAGCCCTTGCCCTAGCCCTGGCTAGGAGGTTAGGGATTAGGGAGCTGCCAAGCAGCTCCAGGGCTTGGTGGCAAACATCGCAAGAAGGTCTCATCCTTACGTGCCCTGGTGAACAATACAAAGCTATGGGAAAGGCTTTGCAAAGCCTAGTGGAGCAGCCCCAGCATCCCACAGACCCAGGGTCGGGCACTTTGGTGTCCCTTGGGCTGTGTGCTCCCCAGTAGAGCTCCTCCCAACCCACTTCACATCTTACCCCACAGCTGCAGGGCTGGGGGAAGTAACGCCTATTGCCTCCCATACATTCCCAGCTCTGCTCAAAAGCAAACTAAACCGCAGGATTTGATACAGAGCCTGGCACTCTCCTGATACCACAGAAGGGACTGATGGAGGGCAAAAAAAATCTCCACATCCCCCAGCTTGCCCTGCACAAGCCTCTTCTTGTGCAGATCAGAGGGGCCATGGCCATCGTCCGAAGCTTGGTGGTCCATAGGAGGGAGAGCAGCCTGTTGCTGCCTCTCCAAGCCTCTCTGGAGAAGGGTTTGTCCTGCATGGCTGCCTTGCCGTATCCAAATTCAGGCCCACCCTCCTTCCCTCCTTCAAGCACAATCCAAGCCCAGCAGACTGCCAGCCCTGCCCATGGCTCTTTAACACGTCTCTCCCGCTCCTCCACACGACAGGCTGCAGC